AGAATTGTACTTATATTGGGTAAGATGAGTAGTTTGACACATAGATACAATATGCAGTTGTAAACCAGAGTATTATCAAATGGGTCACTTCAAAAATATTTTCTTTTTTTTTTGAGAGCATTCAAACCCTCTCTTCCAATATTTAGATATAAACAATAAATTATTGTCCCCAATACCCCCCACTGTGCTATACAGCGTTAGAGCTGAGCCCTCAAGTGCACTGCCATTTTGTGCTCGCTCCTCACCCCTTCCCCACCCCTTCTTCTCTCTATCTTCTCAGTCCCTGGGGACCACTGTTTACTCTCCACTTCTCTTTCAGGTCAAAAATTTCAGCTTCCACTGTTAGAGGAGAAAATGTGGTATCTTTCTTTCTGTGTCTGTCTTGTTTCTCTTAATATACTGTCCTTTAATTCTACCCACATTCCATCAATGACAGTTTCTCATTATTTATTTTTGCCCTGATCATGCTTCACTCTATGTCTAGGTCTATGGCCCTGTGAACACATAGATTTGCTCTCCCCGTTCGTCCACTGGAGGACACCTGGTCTATGGTGAGCAGTGAGTGCTGCACTCACATCTCTTCCCCAGCTCACGTCCTGTGCTGTGCACACACACCCAGGGGTGGGGTTGCTGGATCTGGGGTAGATCAGTCTTCAGGGTCTGAACAGCCCTCACACTGCTCTCCATAGTGGCCATGCTAGTTTACATTTCCACCAGCAGTGTGTGAAGTCCTCCTTCCACTGCAACCCTGCCACAGCTGTGACTCTCGGTCTTTGTGATAATCATTATTCTGACTGGGGTGGGATGAGAACTGACTGTGGCTTTGATTGCTCTTCCCTGGAGATGGTGATGGTGAGCATTTTCCAATGTGCCTGGAGGCCATGTCTATGCCTTCTTTTGAGAAATCGGACAAATGATTTCTTAGAGAGAACCTGAAAGAGGTTTCTTTCCCTGTGAAGGTAAAGAGGGGGGTCTGCTTCCCATCAAAGCTGAGCCCTGTTGGCTGGAGTCAGATCCTCCGTTCCTCCCAGTGTCACACCCAGAGACCCACGTGAACTGTCATTGTCAGTGCTGGGCTCTGCCATGTCCTCAACCTTGGGTCCTACCTGTGCCCACTTCCCGTCCCTCAGTGGAATTCCTGTGCCTTTGTCATTTACAGTGGCAGTGTTGTTATCTCAAGATTTTCTAATCAGGGCCCCCAAAGGACCTCAGATCTGAGAAATGGCAGTGGTGGGAGAATGTGCAGGGCATAGGAGCAGAAGCAGATGTGCTCTTTGGGATACAAAAAGCCATTCAATTAGCAACATGTGTGTTAGATCAATGTGAAGCTCATTTCAGGTAACACTGGATAGTATGCCCCTAAGCACTTTCCTGCAGGACCTGCCTGGTTCCTAAGGAGAAAGGACATGGCCCGGGGGCAGTGTGAGCTCAGCTCCTCAGGTATGTGAGCTGTAACCCCTGTGGGCTTGGGCTCCTGTACAAATAGCAGACCCTGCCCTGCACCACCCCTGAGACAGCTGCAACCTGCACCTCGCCTGGCATCGGGGATTGCACTGGATCTGCAGACGCAGGACTGGTAGGAGCCTCGCTCTCTCTCTCTCTCTCTCTCTCTCTCTCCAGAGCTTCATTTCCTGCCCCACTTCCCAGGCTCTGAGGGCCCCAGTGTGGTAGGAGGAGGCTGTGGGACATGAGTGAGCCGTCAGCTGTCCTATTAGTCTTTCTGTCCCACCCACCGTGGCTCTGGCACACTCCCAATCCCTGGACGCGGCCCAAACTAAGGAGCAAATGTGGACAATGCCATTTTCTTGGCCTGCCCCCTTTATAAACAAATTTCCATCTTTTTTTAAGATTTTATTTATTTATCTGACAGGTAGAGTTACAGATAGTGAGAGGCAGACACAGAGAGAAAAGTCTTCCTTCCGTTGGTTCGCTCCCCCAATGGTTCAAGTGCTAGAACTGCGCTGATCTGAAGCCAGGAGCCAGGTTCTCCTTCCTGTTCTCCCACCTGGGTACAGGGGCGCAAGTACTTGGGCCATCTTAAACTGCTTTCCCAGGCCACAGCAGAGAGCTGGATTGGAAAAGGAGCAGCCGGGACTAGAATCGGTGCCACATGGGATGCTGGCGCCACAAGAGGAGGATTAACCCATTGCGCAACTGCACGAGCCCCACAATTCTTTCATTTTGGGAAAAGATCTCAGCTTACGTGAATCAACTTATCAGTGCTAACTCCTGCTTGGTTCACAGTTGTCTTCCTTTTGCCAGCATTGTCTCAAAGTTAGGTGAGCAGTGCAGAGCAGGGGTGACTACAAGAGGTGGCAGGAAGGGGTGGGGAGATGGGTTCGCTCCCTGTGGGGCTCTGTTCCTGCACACACGGGACAAGCACAGTACTTACCTGGCCGGGCCTCACTGCCAGGACTCCTTCTTGGGGCTGTTCCTGTAATCAGCCTGGTTGCGGGGTTTTCTGTGGATTAAACAAGGTGAGACTGGAACGCTGGACCAGTGCTCAGCGTGCAGTAGGTGTCTGATAGAATTGGACTTCTCTTCTTCCTCCCAGTGTGGATTGAATCTAGTAATCTCTGCAGTAACTGATGTTCCTGGGAAGGAAGTAGACCACTTGCTCCACACTGTGCAGAGAAGAGATGGGCAGGGAGACGAGGTGTTTACAGAGTGGCCCGGGATGAAGCAGGTGCCTTAGTCCAGATAAGCTGTTCCCCTGTGCAAGCCTGCAGGATGATTGTAAGGGAGACAGGGCAGCTGTGGAGGACAGGGGGACAGTGGATCCTTAAGTCTTGGAGAACAGTTTAAGTCCAGGAGTAGTAAGGGAGGAGTCACCAGCCTGGTAGTTGGTTCTTGTTAGTTACGATGTGAAGTAGGGAAGGGAAATACATTTACGCATGGTTTCTATTTAGATGAGAGCCTTGCTATGAATTCAGCAATTTTTTCAAGGATTGGATAAGGGCGTTTCTATGCTCAGCACTCAGGTCACAGAACCCAATCAGGTAGGATTCTTGCTTTCCACCTGCACTCCAAACGCTGTCTGAAACTCGCTGCTCCCCTCCCTTTTCTCTTTCCCTGCTGGGATCAGATGAGCTCACACATCCATGCACTTCCTGAGCTCTTACTTCCCCCCAGACAGCTTCCCCACCCACAGCCCCTGTGTCAGCCTCTATGGGGTTCAGCCTCTGGGTCACCTCCTGGCACCTTCAGCACTCTCCCTGCCCCCTTTCCATCTTGGGTCCTGGGTGTCTGTGCAACAATGAGATAGAGACCAAACACGGGGCAGCAGGAGGAGTTGGTGATGAATTCATGCAGACCTTGAGTGCCAGGTGCAGGAACTGAGGCACAGAAGAGGAAATGACATTTCCAAGAAGAGATTAGGACACAGATGGGACAGAATCCCTGGTCAGTGCTATTTACAGTTCCCAGGGATCAGCCTCCTATTCTTAAAGACCCAAGGCTCTCTCATTCACCTCAGTGTGTAGACAACCTAACTAGTGCATGGCATGCAGTAGGTGCTCAGTAAGTGCTTGCTGAGTGAGTGCTGCAGGATAGAGTGGGTGAGAGGAGCAGGAGTGGATGAGTGAGGGGACGAGGGACTGAGCACTCACAAGGCTCAGTGAGTGCAGAGGGCAGGTGAGGCCTGGCATCCTGGGTCACTGCAGTCTCAGGGCAGGTGCACGTGGGAGAGGTTGGGCTGCTTGCCCAGGCATCCCAGAGCCAGAGGATGCTTGTCTCCTCCTTAAGTAGGCAGGACTGTGGTACCGAGGAGGGAGTGCACACTGAAACTCTTCACCACCATTTGTTCTGACCCTACATAACGGAATCCAGCACCCCTGACCCTGAACCATGGACCCTGCACACTGACCTGCACCACTGACCCTGCTATACTGAACTTACACCACTGACCCCTGCACCACTGACCCCTGCACCCCTGACCCTGCCCCACTTACCCTGCCTTTTGTCCAACAGGTGCCCGCCCAGCTGAGCCATGTGGACCCGCACTCTCACCCTGCTCTCCGTCCTCCTGCTGGCTGCTCAGGGACTCCTGACAGAGGCCCAAAGTGGAGAACAGGATGACGTGAATTTGGAGGCGGAGCAGGATGGGTGGGTTCCTCTGGAGAAGCCTGTGATAGTGTCCACAAGCCCGCCAACCCAGGTCATTGTCACTGGCAGCTTTGTCAGCAGAGACCAGGCCAAATGCAATGTGACCGTGACCAGGCAGGAGGAAGGAGTCCATCTGCAGGCCCATTGTGTTCGACTGCACCACGAGTTCTCCTGTGTCTTTGCAGGCAACCCCACAGCGTGCCTGCACTGCCTGAACAACGACAAGGTCTACTGGAGACAAATTGGCTGGCGCCTGCGCCATTTGAACCGCATCTGTGAGGACTCCAAGGCCATCTTGAATACCAGGGTGTGTGGTACCAAGTATCCAGAGTCCAGTCTCACGCTGCTGAGCTCCACTTTGGCTTCCAAGACGTCTGTGCAGGGACTGAAGCCCACCCCCACGGTGTCAGTCAAGGAGAAGAAGCCATCCCAGACAGAGCCATCCAAAGACACACATTAAGAGTTCTCCATGGAGGCAATGCAGAGCAAAAGGCCCGCCCCCACCACAAGTCAAAACAAGATGAGCCACGCCCACCAATCCAAGTAAGCATCCCAGAAGACAAGTCAGCACGAGGGCCAGCAGGAACAGCAGCACCAGACACAGCCACCCCAACAGGAGGATGAGCACTGGTTCCAGCAGAAGTTCCAGTAGATGACCCGGGAGTGACTGGCCTCCCGCAGCTTGTGCTGCAGCGTCGCCCTCGGCCCCAGTCTTCCTCCTGGGGGAGAAGAGCAGGTGCTTCTGGCAGGTGGTGTCTTAGGCTCCTCTGTGTGTGTGCAGCTCCCAGGTTCCCATCAGGCAGGGACGTCTGTGCTAGGAGAGTGCAGGGCGGTGTTGGGACAGAGTCTGTGTCCTGCCCTTTGCTGATGCTCACTTCCTGAGGTGTGGTTGGCAGAGGCTGTGACCTGGGCCCTGGTCCCTGGGCCCCCCGTGCTGTCTCTGAGCTGAAGGAGTCAGCCTGGTGATTTCAGGGAGACACCTGCACTTCCTGCTGAATTCACAAGCATAATAAACTCAGGTGCTGTTTCAAAATACGTTCACCCAGTGTTTGTGTCTCTGTGTCTGGTCCCACATGATCTCATCAACCTAAACCAGAATATCAGTGGGTGGAACAGCCAGGGTGGGACCTCCCCACCCATCCTCAGTGGTCCCCTGATATGACCGGTTTGTGCCCCTGTCTTCATAGATTGGTCCACTGGACTGTGGTGTTTGAATGGTATGCAGTGTGGTGATTCCAGGAGGAGAACCTAGTGTACTGTGGGGTTTGGATATGGTCAAGGTTGCATCGTTTGTATGGGAGAAGCAAGAGTGACCCAGGAAATCTGGCAGCCGAGACCACCACCTAGAGGACCCCCTGTCCTCACTCAAGTTAGTCCAGCCAAGCCCTGCCATAGGCAGGGCCCCCGACTTGCAGAGCTCCTTCCTGGGCAGTAGGAGAGAGGCCTGGGTACACACAGCAGCCTGAGAGGAGGCTGTAACGGAAGGAGGAGGGAGCTGCAGGCATTTGCCCTAGAGGCCAAGATGCCCAGGGCTCAGTCACAGCGCCTGGGTCCAACACTGGCTCTGCTGCTTTCTCAGTTCCTGCCCATCCAGGCCCTGGTGTGCAGTGGTGGTGACTAAAGGAACTGGGTTCCCCACCCCCATGTGGGAGAAGTTGGTTCAGTTTCCAGCTCCATGTTTGACCCCCATTTGCTGTACGGCAGGTATTTGGAGTTAACCTGTGGAAGCAGAGCTCAATCTATTTCTCTCTCCCAATCAATAATTAAAAAAAAAAAAAAACCTGAGCAAACACATGGGCAGTGCAGGCAGCAAGTGCTGGGAGACTTGGGGCTGAGATGAACAGAAACAGACTAGAGCCGCCCGCCTGAGCATCTCAGGAATGGAATGGGGTAACGGGAACCAAGCTGGCACAGGGCAGCCAAGGGATGTGAGAGTGGCAGAAGCTGGGCGAGGTCAAGAGGGAGGGGTGCAGGGGAGACTGTAGTCATTCACACACTAGTATAAAATACCTGATGTGTTTTAACTTGGGAGTTGGGAGGAGCAGAAGAACTGTTGTCAGTCCCTTGTCACCACACCACCAAGAAGGAAACGTGAGGAAGCAGGGTAGTAACTGCTGCTTTTGGTGCCTCTGATAGGAGCCAGGAGGATGGACAGGTGGGGGACAGGGCAACACTGTGTACTCACCAGCCCACCCTGAGGTTTGCTGAGGTCAATGCACAGGGTGACAACCTCACATGGACATTTGGAATTTAACACCAACTCCACTAACACCAACATCTGTCTCTCACTTGCTATGTACCAGGTACTGTGCTGAGTTCTTCCCAGGGACCAGGCATTCACTCCCTCTCTCCTTCCATCTAGAGAAATAGAATTCAAAATCTCATTGAGAGACAACCTCAAAATCATTTGTTTGGAACCTCTGCAAAAACACTGTTTTGTTGAGACACTGGGTACTTTGATTAATTCAACATGCACTACAATTTTGTGTTGGGATTCTGCTAGTGATGTACACCCCACAAGACAGAAGACACAGTCCCTACTAGGTATTAGCACTTCACACGCACAGCAGTGTGTTCTCAGGCGCTGTAACTCAGAGAAGCACCCTGGTGTGCACTGATGGTGAAAGGACAGGTAACACATGGTACAGAAATTCTAGAGTAGTATTCAGGTCTTTAGAGAATGTAGATTCTGACATCCATGGCACAGAGAGCAACTAAGAGGATGTTACACACAGTGAAAGAGGCCTTCACAGAGAGTAATATTGTACCATGCCATCTACATGTGAGACCTAGAGGAAACTGTTAGAGACAGGAAGTTGAATGCTGGTTGCCAGGGATTTGTGTGAAGTGAAATTTAACATTAGCATTTATACAGTTATACGTTCATCATTGTATGAGATTAGAAGTTATGCAGGATGATGGGAGTGATATTTATACAATAATATGCAAAAGTTGATAGGACTAATCTATCTAAAAAAGGCGATGATGATAAAAATTACATGCCTTTTACTACAATTTCAAAGAAAGTTTAAAAAATCTTTTCCTCAAATGATGGCAGCATAACTGAATATCCAAAAGAAAACAAGACAACCAACCATTACTTCATTCTGTTCCAAAAGTAACCTGAAATTGGACTATATATCTAAACACAACTCTGTAGGTTTTGGGAATCTGACTTTCCTTGCATGGTAACCTAACCTGTTTGTTCAAATGCCCTATCACTGAACCTCCCTTTGCCACTCAACTACCCACCCACAGCCAAACCTCCCTTATAGAGAGGTCAGTATTCATGGACAGATGTAATGGGAGAACGTGCCAAGTTCAATGTTGTCCCTTCTTACTTCCCAGTGGAACCGCTGTGGGAGTCCACAAGAGTTGACAGATTCTATCAAATCATCATGATCTCATGCTCTGGAATCTTCCATATCCAATAACCAAAACCAGGTACTGGTAGAAGAAACCCATTTGAGTCTATGTCTCCTTGGAGTCACCCAGTATGTCCCTTCATATGTTACCAATAGGATCAAGAAACACAACACAACAAAACAGAGCAATGGTTGAAGGATTCTGGGCTGAGAGGGATACAGAGAGCAGGTCTTTCTGAAGTGCAACCTTTTCTGTTCCAGTTTCAACAATGGGAGTCCTCTCTCAGAGTCCAGCTGCATTAATGCTCATGCACTCTGACTGAGACCCAAGCCACAGTGCTAACAACACCACGTGTCCAGCTTATTTTTCAGTCAAGCTTTTCATTAGTAATTCAGAGGTCATTTTTAATCTTACAGATATCACACCATGAATCTCAGGGAACAGGTCTCGGCGGCTTGGGTCCTTTCCACTGCTCCTGACAAAGTGGCTTCTCTGAGTGGAGCAGGCTGGGGCTCATAGAAGCTGGTACCTTGCTCTCTGCTTCCTTCTCTTTCTGATCGTTTTCCTTCAACATTTCAGGAAGCTAGCTCAGTTCTTGGAGTGCTCAATATGCTCAAAAGCCACATTAATTCTCTTGTTCAGAATCTTGTCCTTGACTGTTTCTTTACAACGATGCCTGCTGCAAGCTGGGTATCACTGTAGACTCTTCAGGTTCACCACTGCATTCACCATGGGAACATGTACATGGCATTGCAGTGCACAGGGTTCCTGCTCCCCAGCTATCTGCAATATCACGTTCCTTGTAGATCATGTGTATGTGGCCTGGGACACAGCACCATAATCTCTAAAAGGCCGGGAGAACGTGGATCTGGTGTCTCTCCTGCTTCCCTTGGTGTTGGTCATCTTGGTGAATTACTGTGAGATGGTAGTCACAGCCAATAGGGCAGTCAAGTCATGAAAATCCATTCTACGGCTGGAGGATGCCACCTACCTGGGAATGACAAGGGGCTTGAAGTGGCCCCTGAGTGTCCTGGCTGTGAGCCACTATAGGGGCCCTTTTTAAGTGCACAGTATACCATCATCTCACTCTGAGTGATCCAGGTAGTCAAAACTATGGTGGAGCAGTACTCAATGCACCATAATATGGCCAGATTCTGCCACATCACAGAGAGCAATTCCATCATGACACTGAGTCAAGTACCCTACAGGACTCAGTGCCACCAGATGGTAACCCAAGAACAACACGTATTTGGCAGGGAGGGTCAAAACTACCCCTTCAGCCAAACACAGAACTATCAGCTGAAAAGAGGGGCACAGTCATGTTAGGCCGTTACAATCACCACAACACACAGCTGGATGTCCTATTGGGCATCCATATGTTACTAGCAGAGGTAACGATGATAATCTTTAGGCAGGCCCAATCATCTTCATTGTCCCATTCAATCTTCTGGTGGTATCACTATTCCCATGGGCATCCACATATTTTATAAAGAAAGGCTTGACAGGCTGCAGTAGCTGATGGCCATTGGTTGCAGCCCCACTGTAGAGTGTCCCACAGCAGTCATCTCCCAGGGACACCTAGTCATTCACAAGAGAAGGTGAAAGGGGACAGCCTGTCCCTCAGGAGAGAGACCCGAGGCAAAGCGCTGGCTGTCTGTCTAGCTCATGGACTGTAAGATTTTTTTTTTTTTTTTGACAGGCAGATTGGGCAGTGAGAGAGACAGAGAGAGAGAAAGGTCTTCCTTTGCCATTGGTTCATCCTCCAACGGCCTCCTCAGCCAACGCGCTGTGGCCTGCGCACTGCACTGATCTGAAGGCAGGAGCCAGGTACTTATCCTGGTCTCCCATGGGGTGCAATGCCCAAGCACTTGGGCCATCCTCCACTGCACTTCCCTGGCCACAGCAGAGAGCCGGCCTGGAAGAAGGGCAACCGGGACAGAATCCGGCGCCCTGACCGGGACTAGAACCCTGTGTGCCAGCACCGCAAGGCGGAGGATTAGCCTAGTGAGCTGCAGCACAGGCCAACTGTAAGCTTTTATTCAGTCACTTCACGCAGACTTCTCATTGACTAGGTCACTGCTGCCACCTAGTGGATGCATCAGTATTTATTGGGCTGAGTTTTCAGTCAACCAAGCCCAAGCATCCTCAGGGAGGAGTGTTCTAAGGCCATGGCAATGGGAAATCTCCTTGATGTCCAAGTCTGTCCTTAGGTCTGAGGGGTCCCAGGCAGATGGGGAGTCCTGGGTGCAGTGGAGTCTGGCACTCCTTTCTAAGACCCAGGTCTGCACAAGTGCCAGTAGCTTCATCCCTAACAGAGTGTAGGGAGCCCTGTTCCAATGGGGGCTGCCACACTTCACCACACACTCCACTCAACATGCTTTTTGGCAGCACATGTCCTTGGGTTTACAGACCCTAGAGGAACGGCTGCCAAAACACCTGGTTGACAGCCTCTGATGCACCTGTTGTGAAGTTGTCCAGACCTGCACACTTTGCACAGAACCTGTCTCAGCTCTCCCCAGGCACTGAGTCAGTAGTTATCATATTAGCTAGTGTCATTGACCCACATGATCCCTGCAACATATTTCTTTTCTTTTATGGAGAGTTCAAATTTCATTTGATTACTGAGCCAGAAGTACATAAGGCCAATGACTGAACATTTAACAGTCATGATACTTACTGCAAGAAATACTTGACAAATTCTAGGTTGACGCACACATTGTAGGTATAATTTATTAGGTTTTAGGAGATCTATGATAACCTTTGGGTAGCATGAAAGATTCATTGTTAGAGCATCAGCAACAGGAGTGCCCAGCCTCCTGCAGGTTGGCAATAGACTTGAGTTAGAGAAAATGTGTACTTCAAAAAGGGCTTTGATGCCTAATAACTGCCATCGTTTTGGGGCACCCAGATCTGCAAGATCAGCCAAGGTACACTCAGCAAGGAATGTTCCAGGCTCACCTTTCTCCTAGCTCTTTTATTCAAAGTATGAATTGGACTGATAGTTAAAAAATTCATAGAAAATGCATGCTATGAAAAATATACACATGGATTATAAAAATTTTTAAAGACTTATTTATTGCTTTGAAAATCAGAATTATAGAGAGAGCAGGAGAGACAGAGAGAGATCTTTCTTCTGCCAGTTCACTTACTAACTGTCTACAATGACCATGTATGGCCCACTCTGAAGCCAGGAGCCAGGAGCCTTCTCAGGGTCTCCAAATGGGTGGAGGGACCCTCGTACTTGGGGTTTTTCTGATGCTTCCCCAGGCCATTAGCAGGGAGCAGCATTGGAATCAAACTGGCCCCCAGTGGGAAACTGATGTCCCGGGGGCAGTTTTCCCAGGACAACACAATCCCAGACTCTCAAACTTTCATGAACCAAAACAAATTTATCTCTTGATTGCATTCTTTTCCCATGACTTCTGAAGCACTCTTGCATTGCAGGGGATAGCAATGGCCACACCAGCACAGAGGCCATAAAGAACTGCTGTGACCAGGCTGGGAAAGACTTGCAGATGCCCTGTGCTGTGCAGGTGGTGTGCTTATCAGTCAGCTGGAAGGAGATCTCCCGACCAAGGGCAAGGAGCCAACTCTGCTCACCCCAGGGCTTGTCTCTGGGGATGAGGTCAGTGCACGATGTCACCATGGAGTCACCAATTCCTCTGGAAACTACAGCAGGTGTCCTTCATCAGTCTGGGAAGGAAGTGAAACCAACTCATCTGGCTCCTAACTCCTGGGTAGGAACACTTGTTCAAGTTTAGGATGGTTTAAGTTCTGAGTCTAAGATTAATTAGTCATTGAATTCTTCAGATGATTGAGTTAATATATTTGAGAATTTTAACTGACACTTGAGAATTATACTTATATTGGGTAAGATGAGTAGTTTGACATAGATATAATATGCAGTTGTAAAACCAGGGTATTAGCAAATGCAATACTTCAAAAATATTTTCTTTTTGGGGAGCATTCAAATCCTCTCTTCCAATATTTAGAAATAGACAATAAATTATTGTGCACATCATCCCCCCACTGTGCTGCAGGGCGTTAGAGCTGAGGCCTCAAGTGCACTCTCATTTTGTGCTCGCTCCTCACCCCTGCCCCACCCCTTCCTCTCTATCTTCTCAGTCCCTGGGGACCACTGTTTACTCTCCACTTCTCTTTCAGATCAAAATTTTCAGCTTCCACTGTTAGGGGAGAACTTGTGGTATTAATCTTTCTGTGTCTGTCTTGTTTCTCTTAATATACTGTCCTTTAATTCCACCCACATTCCACCAATGACAGTTTCTCATTATTTATTTTTGCCCTGATCATGCTTCACTCTATGTCTATGTCTATGTCCCTGTGAACACATCAGATTTCCTCTCCCCATTTATCCACTGCAGGACACCTGGTCTATGCTGAGCAGTGAGTGCTGCACTCACATCTCTTCCCCAGCTCACGTCCTGTCCTGTGCACACACCCAGGGGTGGGGTTGCTGGATCTGGGGTAGATCTGTCTTCAGGGTCTGAACAGCCCCCATGCTGCTCTCCATAGTGGCCATGCTAGTTTACATTTCCACCAGCAGTGTGTGAAGTCCTCCTTCCACTGCGACCCTGCCACAGCGGTGACTCTGTGTCTTTGTGATAATCATTATTCTGACTGGGGTGGGATGAGAACTGACTGTGGCTTTGATTGCTCTTTCCATGAGGATGGTGATGGTGAGCATTTCCCTATGTACAAGGAGGCCATGTCCATGCCTTCTTTTGAGAAATCTGCCAGACATTGGTCAGATGATTGCTTCAGAGAGAACCTGAAGGATGTTTTAGTCCCTGTGAAGGTAAAGAGGGGGGCCTGCTTCCCATCAAAGCTGAGCCCTGTTGGCTGGAGTCAATCCTCCATTCCTCCCAGTGTCACACCCAGAGACCCGCGTGAACTGTCAATGTCAGTGCTGGGCTCTGCCAGGTCCTCAACCTGCTGGGTCCACCCTGTGCCCTCTTCCTGTTCCTCAGTGGAATTCCTGTGCCTTTGTCATTTACAGTGGCAGTGTTGTTTTCTCAAAATTTTCTAATCAATGTTCCCAAAGGACCCCAGAGCTGAGAAAGGGCAGTTGTGGGAGAATGTGCAGGGCTTAGGAGCAGAAGGAGGAGTGCTAGTAGGGATTTTAAAGCCATTCAATTAGCAACATGTGTGTTGAATCCATGTGACGTTCATTTCAGGTAACAGTGGATAATGTTCCACACAGCACTTTACCTAAAGGACCTGGCTGCCTGGGAAGGGGAAGGGACATGGCCCGGGGCAGTGTGAGCTCAGCTCCTCAAGTATGTGAGCTGTAACCCCTGTGGGCTTGGGCTCCCGCACAAATAGCAGACCCTGCCCTGCACCTCCCCTGAGACAGCTGCAACCTGCACCTCGCCTGGCATCGGGGATTGTGCTGGATCTGCAGACGCAGGACTGGTAGGAGCCTCGCTCTCTGTCTCTCTCTCCAGAGCTTCATTTCCTGCCCCACTTCCCAGGCTCTGAGGGGCCCCAGTGTGGTAGGAGGAGGCTGTGGGTCATGACTGGGCCATCATCTGGTATATTAGTCTTTCTGTCCCATCCTCCGTGGCTCTGGTCCACTCCCAATCCTTGGAGTTGGTCCAACACCTAGGTGGAATTGTGGACAGGGCCATTTCCTGGGCCTGCCCCATTTTCAAACAAACTACTTTCTTTCTGGGTAAGTTCACAGCCATTGTGAATCATCTTCTCCTCAGTGCTAATTCCAACCTGCTTCGATGTTGTTATCTTTTTGCCAGTATTTTCTGGTGGTGCAGAGCAGGGTGATCTAGAAGAGGTGGCAGAAAGGGACAAGGCACTGGGGTCTTTCCCAGCAGGGCTCTGTTCCTCCACACAACAGGACCAGCACACTTACTTACCTGGCGGGGCATCACGGTCGGGCTCTTCCTTGGGGCTGTTCCTGTAATCAGCCTGGTTGTAGGGTCTTGTGTGGTTTACACAAGGTGAGACTGGAACGCTGGACCAGTGCTCAGCGTGTAGTCAGTGTTACATAGAATTGGACTTTTCTTCTGCCCAGTGTGGCTTGATAGTTCACCTGGTAAACTTGGTGCATTAACTCCTGTGCCCGTATGGAGTCAGGCCCCCTGCTCCACACTGTACAGTGACTAGGGCAGAGAGGAGACTGAGCAGTGAGATAAGGTGTTTACACAGTGGGCCGGGGGAAGCAGGTGCCTTGGTCCAGAATGAAATGTACCCCCTGTGCAAGCCTGCAGGATGATTTTTAAGGGAGAAAGGGCAGTTGTGGGAGGACGGGGGGGACAATGGGTCCTGAAGTTCTTAGGAGAACAGTTGAAGTCCAGGACTAGTAAGGGAGGAGTCACCAGCCTACTAGTTGGTTCTGGTTAGTTATGATGTGAAGAGGGAAGAGAAATGCATTTGCATATCGTTTCTGTTGGCACTGACAGCCTTGATATTCATTAAGTGATTTTTGTCAAGGATCAGTAACAACATCTGTATGCTCAGCACCCAGGTCCAGAACCCAATCAGGTCCGTTTCTTGTCACCTGCACTCTAAACACTGTCTGAAAAATCGCCGCTCCCCTTCCTGTTTCTCTTCCCCACTGTGGTCAGAAGATCTCCCCCTACATGCCTTTCCTGAGCTCTTACTCCTCCCAAACAGCTCTAACGTGACCCCTACCCCACCCAGCCCCTGTGTCAGGCTCCATAGTTCAGTGTCTGGGACACCTCCTGGCACCTTCAGGACTCTTCCTGCCCCCTTTCCATCTTGGGTCCTGGGTGTCTTTGGAACAATGAGATAGAGACCAAGCACAGGGCAGCAGGAGGAGTTGGTGATGAATCTGTGTACACCTTGAATGCCAGGTGCAGGAACTGAGGCACAGAGGAGGAAATGACATTTCCTAGAAGAGATTAGGACACTGATGGGACAGAATCCCTGGTCAGTGCTATTTATAGGTCCCAGGGATCAGTCTCATATTCTTAAAGACCCAAGGCTCTCTCATTCACCTCAGTGTGTAGACAACCTAACTAGTGCATGGCATGCAGTAGGTGCTCAGTAAGTGCTTGCTGAGTGAGTGCTGCAGGACGAGTGGGTGGGAGGATCAGGAGTGGGTGAGTGAGGGGAGGAGGGACTGAGAGCTCACAAGGCTCAGTGAGTGCAGAGGGCAGGTGAGGACTGGCAGCCTGGGTCACTGCAGTCTCAGGGCAGCTGCACGTGGGAGAGGTTGGGCTGCTTGCCCTGGCATCCCAGAGCCAGAGGATGCTTGTCTCCTCCTTAAGTAGGCAGGGCTGTGGTACAGAGAAGGGAGTGCACACTGAAACTCTTCACCACCATTTGTTCTGACCCTACATAACGGAATCCAGCACCCCTGACCCTGAACCATGGACCCTGCACCCTGACCTGCACCACTGACCCTGCAATACTGAACCTGCACACTGACCCTGCCTTGTGTCCAACAGGTGCCCGCCCAGCTGAGCCATGTGGACCCGCACTCTCACCCTGCTCTCCGTCCTCCTGCTGGCTGCTCAGGGGCTCCTGACAGAGGCCCAAAGTGGAGAACAGGATGACGTGAATTTGGAGGCGGAGCAGGATGGGTGGGTTCCTCTGGAGAAGCCCGTGATAGTGTCCACAAGCCCGCCAACCCAGGTCATTGTCACTGGCAGCTTTGTCAGCAGAGACCAGGCCAAATGCAATGTGACTGTGACCAGGCAGGAGGAAGGAGTCCATCTGCAGGCCCATTGTGTTCGACTGCACCACGAGTTCTCCTGTGTCTTTGCGGGCAACCCCACGGCGTGCCTGCACTGCCTGAACAACGACAAGGTCTACTGGAGACAAATTGGCTGGCGCCTGCGCCATTTGAACCACATCTGTGAGGACTCCAAGGCCATCTTGAATACCAGGGTGTGTGGTACCAAGTATCCAGAATCCAGTCTCATGCTGGTGAGCTCCACTCTGGCTTCCAAGACGTCTGTGCAGGGAGCCCACCCCCACGGTGTCAGTCAAGGGGAAGCAGCCATCCCAGACAGAGCCATCCAAAGGCAAACAGCACGTCTTCTCCTAAGAGGCAACCAAGAGTAACAGGCCCACCATCACAGTCAAGTTAAAACAACACAACCACTCCCACAGAGCAGGTCGAGATTGAAACAACCAGACAACACACAGCTGGATCGGGAGACCACCATACTCAGACAAAAGGGCCGTCAGTGAGCACCACCAGCCAAGCCCAGACACAAGCCTCCAGCACCACTAAACTCACCTTTGTGAGTACAACAGTCATCAAATCCAAGAATGCATCCCAGAAGACAAGTCAGCACGAGGGCCAGCAGGAACAGCAGCACCAGACACAGCCAGCCCAGCAGGAGGATGAGCACTGGTTCCAGCAGAAGTTCCAGTAGATGACCCGGGAGTGACGGGGCCTCCCGCTGCTTGTTCTGCAGCGTCGCCCTCGGCCCCAGTCTTCCTCCTGGGTGAGAAGAGAAGGTCCTTTAGGCAGGTGGTGTCTTAGGCTCCTCTGTGTGTGTGCAGTTCCCAGGTTCCCATCAGGCAGGGACGCCTGTGCTAGGAGAGTGCAGGGTGCTGTTGGACAGAGTCTGTGTCCTGCCCTTTGCTGATGCTCACTTCCTGAGGTGTGGTTGGCAGAGGCTGTGACCTGGGCGCCTGCCCCTGGGCCCCCAGTGCTGTCTCTGAGTTGAAGGAGTCAGCCTGGTGATTTCTTCGAGATACTTACATTTCCTATTGAATTAAAAGCAAATTAAACTCAGGTGCTGTTTCAAAATATGTTCTCTCAGTGTTTGTGTCTCTGTGTCTGGTCCCACATGATCTCATCAACCTAAACTAGAGTGTCAGTGGATGGAAAAGCCAGGGTGGGCCTTCCCCAGCCATCCTCAGTGGTCTCCTGATGGGACCCATTCCATTTTCCCTGTCTTCATAGAGTCGTCCACTAGACTGTGGTGTTTGAACTGTATAGAGCGTGGTGATTTCAGGAAGGGAACCCAGAATACTGTGGGGTTTGGTCATGGTCAGGGTTGCATAGCTCGTAAGGGAGAAGCACGACTGGACCCCAGGAGTTCTGGTAGCTGTGTCTACAAACTGGAGGAACTCCCTGTCCTCACTCAAGTCAGAGCATCCCACCCCTGCCATAGGCATGTCTCCCACTTTGCAGAGATCCTTCCTGGGCAGTGGGAAGAGGCCTGGGTACACACAGCAGCCTGAGAGGAGGCTGTTAGCAAAGGAGGAGGAAGCTGCAGGCATTTTCCTAGGGGCCAAGATGCCCAGGGCTCAGTCACAGTGCCTGGGTTCAATACCTGGCCCTTCTCCTTAATCAGCTTCCTGCCCATGCAAGCCCTGGTGTGCAGTGGTGGTGACTAAAGAAACTGGGTTCCCCCAACCCACGTGGGAGAACTTGATTGAGTTTCCAGCTTCATGATTGACTCTCGTTTGAGGCCTGGCAGGTATTGAAGTTAAGCAGTAGAATGAGCTCAATCTTTTTCTCCCCCAAAGAATAATTAAAAAAAAATTAAACACATGGGCAGTGCAGGCAGAAAGTGCTGGGAGACTGGGGCTGAGATAAACAGAAACAGACTGGAGCCGCCCTCCTGAGCATCTCAGGAATGGAATGGGGTAACGGGAACCAAGCTGGCACAGGGCAGCCAAGGGATGTGAGAGTGGCAGGGCTGGGCGAGGTCAAGAGGGAGGGGCACAGGAGTGACTGTAGACATTCACACACTAGTATAAAATACCTGATGTGTTTTAACTTGGGAGTTGGGAGGAGCAGAAGAACTGTTGTCAGTCCCTTGTCACCACACCACCAAGAAGGAAACGAGAGTAAGCAGGGTAGCAACACTGCTGCTTTTTGGTGCCTCTGACAGGAGCTGGGGGGGAAGGCAGGTGAGGGACAGGACAACACTGTGTACTCACCAAAACACCAGGACACACTGAGGTTTGAGGGGTCAATGCACATAGTGACAGCCTCACAGGGACATTTGGGTATCACACCAATTCCACAGAAACCAGCATCTGTCTCTCCCTTGCTGTGAACCAGGTACTGTGCTGAGTTCTTCCCAGGGACCATGCATTCACTCCCTCTCTCCCTCCATCTAAGGAAATGGAATTCCAAATCTATTTGAGAGACAACCTCAAAACCAGTTGTCACTTGACACAAACTTCTCATGGCCTAGGTCACTGCTGCCACCTAGTGGATGCATCAGTATTTAGTGGGCTGAGTTTTCAGTCAACCAAGCCCAAGCATCCTCAGGGAGGAGTGTTCTAAGGCCATGGCAATGGGAAATCTCCTTGATGTCCAAGTCTGTCCTTAGGTCTGAGGGGTCCCAGGCAGAATGGGGAATCCTGGGTGCAGTGGGGTCTGGCACTCCTTTCTAAGACCCAGGTCTGCACAAGAGCCAGTAGCTTCATCCCTGACAGAGTGTAGCAGGGAAACCTGTTCCAATGGGGGCTGCCACACTTCACCACACACTCCACTCAACATGCTTTTCGGCAGCACATGTCCTTGGGTTTACAGACCCTAGAGGAACGGCTGCCAAGACACCTGTTTGACAGCCTCTGATGCACGTGTTGTGATGTTGTCCAAACCTGCACACTTTGCACAGAACCTGTCTCAGCTCTCCCCAGGCACTGAGTCAATAGTTATCATATTAGCTAGTGGCATTGACCCACATGATCCCTGCAACATATTTCTTTTCTTTTATGGAGAGTTCAAATTTCATTTGATTACTGAGCCAGAAGGACATAAGGCCAATGACTGAACATTTAACAATCATGATACTTACTGCAAGAAATACTTGACAAATTCTAGGGAGATGCATACATTGTAAGTACAATTTATTAGGTTTTAGAGATACATGATAAGCTTTGGGTAGCATGAAATATATATATTGTTAGAGGATCAGCAACAGGAGTGCCCAGCCTCCTGCACGATCACAATAGACTTGAGTTAGAGAAAATGTGTCCTTCAAAACGGTCTTTGATGCTGCAAAACTGCCATCCTTTTGGGGCACCCAGATCTGCAAGATCAGCCAAGGTACACTCAGCAAGGGATGCTCCAGGCTCACCTTCTTCTAGCTCTTTTATTCAAAGTATGAATTGGACTGATAGTTAAAAAATTCATAGAAAATGCATGCTATGAAAAATCTACACATGGATTATAAAATTTTTTAAAGACTTATTTATTGCTTTGAAAATCAGAATTATAGAGAGAGCAGGAGAGACAGAGAGAAATCTTCCTTCTGCCAGTTCACTTACTAACTGTCAACAATGGCCATGGCTGGCCCACTCTGAAGCCAGGAGCCAGGAGCCTTCTCAGGGTCTCCAAATGGGAGGAGGGACCCTCATACTTGGGCCATTTCTGCTGCTTCCCCAGACCATTAGGAGGGAGCAACATTGGAAGTAGAACAGCTGGGACTCAGACAGGCCCCTATGTTGGATGCTGATGTCCCAGGGGGGAGTCTTTCCCAGGACAACACAATCCCAGACCCTCAAATTTTCATAAACCAAAACAAATTTATCTCTTGATTGCATTCTTTCCCCATGATTTTGAAGCACTCTTGCATTGCAGGGGATAGCAGTGGCCACACCAGCACAGAGGCCATAAAGATCTGCTGTGACCAGGCTGGGGAAGACTTGCAGATGCCCTGTGCTGTGCAGGTGGTGTGCTTATCAGTCAGCTGGAAGGAGATCTCCCGACCAAGGGCAAGGAGCCAACTCTGCTCACCCCAGGGCTTGTCTCTGGGGATGAGGTCAGTGCACGATGTCACCATGGAGTCACCAATTCCTCTGGAAACTACAGCAGGTGTCCTTCATCAGTCTGGGAAGGAAGTAAAACTAATCAGCAGGATCATAATAGTTAGATAGGAAAGCTTGTTCAAATTTTGGATGGTTTAAGTTCTGAGTCTAAGATTAATTAGTCATTGAATTCTGTCAGATGATTGAGTTAATATATTTGAGAATTTTAACTGACACTTGAGAATTGTACTTATATTGGGTAAGATGAGTAGTTTGACATAGATATAATATGCAGTTGTAAAACTAGGGTATTGTCAAATGGGTCACTTCAAAAATACTTTCTTTTTTTGGGAGCATTGAAATCCTCTCTTCCAATATTTAGAAATAGACAATAAATTATTGTCCACAGCAGTCCTCCCACTGTGTTGTAGGGCGTTAGAGCTGAGCCCTCAAGTGCGCTGCCATTTTGTGCTCGCTCCTCACCCCTTCCCCACCCCTTCCTCTCTCTATCTTCTCAGTCCCTGGGGACCACTATTTGTTCTCCACTTCTCTTTCAGATAAAAATTTTCAGCTTCCACTGTTAGGGGAGAACATGTGGTATTAATCTTTCTGTGTCTGTCTTGTTTCTCTTAATATACTGTCCTTTAATTCCACCCACATTCCACCAATGACAGTTTCTCATTATTTATTTTTGCCCTGATAATGCTTCACTCTGTGTCTATGTCTATGTCCCTGTGAACACATCAGATTTCCTCTCCCTGTTCATCCACTGCAGGACACCTGGTCTATGCTGACCAGCAAGTACTGTACTCACATCTCTTCCCCAGCTCACGTCCTGTCCTGTGCACACACACCCAGGGGTGGGGTTGCTGGATCTGGGGTAGATCTGTCTTCAGGGTCTGAACAGCCCCCATGCTGCTCTCCATAGTGGCCATGCTAGTTTACATTTCCACCAGCAGTGTGTGAAGTCCTCCTTCCACTGCGACCCTGCCACAGCGGTGACTCTCGGTCTTTCTGATAATCGTTATTCTGACTGGGGTGGGATGAGAACTGACTGGGACTTTGACTGATCTTTCCCTGTGAATGGTGATGGTGAGCATTTCCCTATGTATCTGGAGGCCATGTCCATGCCTTCTTTTGAGAAATGTGCCAGACATCGGTCAGATGATTGCTTCAGAGAGAACCTGAAAGACGTTTTAGTCCCTGTGAAGGTAAAGAGGGGGGCCTGCTTCCCATCAAAGCTGAGCCCTGTTGGCTGGAGTCAGATTCTCCGTTCCTCCCAGTGTCACACCCAGAGACCCGCGTGAACTGTCAGTGTCAGTGCTGGGCTCTGCCAGGTCCTCAACCTGCTGTGTCTACCCTGTACCCTCTTCTGGTCCCTCAGTGGAATTCCTGTGCCTTTGTCATTTACAGTGGCAGTGTTGTTATCTCAAGATTTTCTAAACAGTGGCCCCAAAGGACCCCAGAGCTGACAAAGGGCAGTGGTGGGAGAATGTGCAGGGCATAGGAGTAGAAGGAGATGTGCTCTTAGGGATACAAAAGACATTCAATTAGCAACATGTGTGTTAAATCAATGTGAAGCTCATTTCAGGTAACACTGGATAGTATGCCCCTAGCACTAACCCTACAGAACCGGCCTGGTTCCTAAGGAGAAGGGACATGGCTGGGGGCAGTGTGAGCTCAGCTCCTCAGGTATGTGAGCTGTAACCCCTGTGGGCTTGGGCTCCTGTACAAGTAGCAGACCCGTCCCTGCACCTCTCCTGAGACAGCTGCAACCTGCACCTCGCCTGGCTTCGGGGATTGCGCTGGATCTGCAGACGCAGGACTGGTAAGAGGCTCGCTCTCTCTCTCTCTCTCTCTCTCAGAGCTTCATTTCCTG